CAGCAAAGTAAAATTTGCCAGCGGACACTCTGAATCCGAAGCCTGAGCTATGTATTTCGCACGCGCTTCAGACGAATCTTTGCCCCTCAGTTTTCTACACTGAAGTGCTCCCATGACACCCATCCAGTCGTCCACATCTCTCTACTCCGATGCGCAGATTCGCCAGTACCTTTTGACTGTAGGATACTGGTCTATCAAAGATATCGGCGACAGTAAAATCTGCACCCTCCCTCTGCCTCCACCGACGCTGCACACTCTACGTCAGCTGAATCACCTACACTTGGTCTCCTTCCCGTTCGACTGTAGCGCGATGCATTAGTACGCGATGCATTCACGGCGTTCTGACATTTGACACTAATGATCCACCGTTTGCAGCACAGACAACCATAAGATGGACGTTACTGCCGAAGGCGTCTTCCAGCGATTGGTGGTGGACAGACTAGGAGGATCTTACTGCTTCGGCCTCAACACCCTTCTACTCGAAGTACTGAAAGGTCTCGGGTTTCTGTACGTTATCACTAGTCAAATTCATCATGATCATCGCTATGAGAGCTGATACTCGTACTCGATTCCCCCTTTCCCAGAGCGTACAGCGGCGGAGCGGGGTTCGAAAGCCGCTTCTTCACCGTTCAAGATATGACCGACTGCGTCCACATGATTCTCTTCGTTCAAATCCCAGGAAACAAAACTGAAGAGACGTGGCTGGTCGACGTTGGTTATGGCGTGACTGGGCTCATTCGCCCCGTACTTCTCTCTGACAGTACGGAGAACGTGGTTATGGGGAGTACGTCGACGGAGCTGCACAGACTGAGGAAAATGTCTTCTCCTGAAGGTAAAGGTACGCGATCCTGCTTTCCGTCACATAAGCCTGCTTTGGCTCACCTCTTCCGCACATCAATTCTAGATCCATCGACGCAGTGGTGGCGTTTTGAGAAGCTTCATATCTTCCCAGGCGAAGATTGGCGATCCAAACCCTCCTCTGCTTGGGAGTGTAACTACATCTTCTCCGAGTCTCCCTTCCACGCCGCCGACTATCAGCACGCGAACCATCTTCTCAACACCGTTCCCCAAGGCTCACCGTTCTGGGGCTTCGTCATTGCCATCAGGTACTTTACTCTTCCAGACGTAGGCGAAGAAGAATTCAGCGTCGACGACGGCTCATCTAAGGTCGAGGAGAACCACCCAGACTACTCGGACATCCAATACGGAAGATACACACTCAATGGGAACGTTGTGAAGAAGACGATTGGTGCACGTTCGGAGACGCGGCCGCTTCTATTAACGGAGCGAGAGCGGATTGCCGTCCTCAAGGATGTGTTTGGCGTGGTGTACGAGGACGTGGACGGGGCGGAGAAGAACGTTTGCGGCAGAGATGCAGCGATTGAGTCGGGGCTGGTAGCGGGATCGATGGCTCTAAGTTTTTTTTGAGGGACCCTGAAGCTTGGGTCGAGTAATGAAGGAATCGAGTGTACTACGGCTCACGTTCCCGTTCATCAGGCTCACGACTGCTAGTTTGGAATCGATTTATGTGTACCTTCTAGGGTTCTCAAACGCATACATACATGCAGCAGACGTTTTAAGTCACGCGAAGTACTATGGATCGTCGACCCACAGAATAGACTCGAGAAGGCCTATCGCGACGTCGTGAAACAACGTAAGTAGATATATTAATGGAGGAGTAAGTAGCCGCACATAGGTTAATGAGCGTAAAACTCGGGTCCAAGTCGAAGGTAAATAGCGCGCCCCGTGGGTCCTCCTGATGCAATGAGAGTCGTCAGCACTCGCGCGCATGTGTTGACATCGTCATCTCGTCATTATCATCGCCCACGGAAACAGTCTGGACTCTGAAATAAGGCACAGAAGCGATCAGGAGTGATCGTGCGGCTGGTCATGTCGAATTCGTGACCTCCGTGTACCTTGGTTGGTACCACTCATCATGAGAAAGCAAAACCTGTGCTAGATGGGTACAAACTGCTCTATCCCCTGCTTGCTCGCACGATAACTTGAATTGGAGGTGGTCCCACATTTCTGTACTCTCACGACATCATCGTCAAGGCACCACAGTCTACGTAGACAGCGCACCAATCACGCCATGTTAGTATGTGCGCCTCGCGGGCGGCGCTCAATCATCCATATCACTCTCATCTTGTACAAAAATTACATTCTGCGCGCTTTTCGGTCGTTTCATGGTCAAAATTCCCTTTTTGGGGCTGTCCTCCATCCAAATAAAAGGTTTCTGCTGCTTTGAGCGATAATTTTGCCATCGCGCTACGTTTTGTGCTCGACGCGCTATAGTGGTACTGATGTTGTAATCGATGCGCCGTACGCTGGGCAGCACGCGCTAAGTCAAAGTGTAAGCGCTATCACGGACACGTCGACGTCGACGAAATGTACTATGTGTTATGTATACTTACATCAGTGACTGTAAATCCTACCTTCCAGTATTCACTCGTCTGCTGCACTGGCAGTGGTCGACTTCGCCTGGGCTGAGAGTAAATTTGAGAAGGACCCTGTGAGAATACATATCCCACACCGGTTAGCCCTGGAAAAAATTTCTTCTCAAAGGTGATACAGAACTATTCAAAGGATTGCTTGTCGAGCACACCTCAGGCTCTGAATCGGTCTATCCAAGTCGGTTAACCTCCTTCCCCGGGGCCCCTTGCTTGATCTTTGGATTGGTACCGGTAAGACGAATAGCAGTAAACAGTACTATTAGACACACACATATACTACATTAAATCATGGACTCTCAGAGATCCGGCCAGGCAGAGATTTGGTCGACTGACCGTCCAACTGTGTATACAACGACGGAAGCATCCGGTGTAATCGTTGTCTTAACCACTGCTCCAAGTCCATGGCCAAGAGCAATATGCGTAGCGCGTTGGGAAAGAACATCCGTGTCGCTTTGAGTAAACCAAAAAGCGCTTCAGCGGCATAATTGAGCTCTGCTTCACAGCGCACTTTTAGGTAATTTTAACCACAGATGACCCTCATACATCCAAGTTACAGATCTTTCAACTGGGATGGGTAAGAAACGACCGCTACGCTGAATTGCGGTGCTATAGCGCCGCTCGAGCTTGACTCTTCTAAGCGCCAGCGCGAAGATCGGTTTGAGAGACTATATAATAACATGAACGAATCTCGGTCGGACTACAAAGTAACACCTCACCTCACGGCTTTCCTCAAAACCGTCTTCTTTGCTATATATCTCACCGTGGTGAGTCTGCGCATGCATCTTCAAAGAATATAATGCTGACTTCGCTTTCGCTTAGTTCTGCTCAGACATCACACTTCAAGTCCACTCTTCCTATTACACACCTGCCAATGTGAAGAAGATCACTCAAGTGCTCCAGAAGTACGTCGCTTCTGACGACGTCACAACCAATAAGCTGCTCGGGGCGTCCGCCATCGTCGTCGATCAGAATGGTTAGTCCACAAAGCAGTTGATTCTCGTAGCATTACTGATATAAACTGTGGCAGGTGTCCTCTACTCCGGTACTGCGGGAAAGACCGACTTCAGCCCCGATGCGCAGCCCTTCTCCTTGGACTTCTTCGGCTGGATCGCGTCGTGTAGCAAGCTCGTCACGAGCACCGCCGCAATGCAGTTGGTGCAGGAGAGTCGTATCGGACTCGACCAAGACGTTCGACTAATTGTCCCCAAGCTCAACACACTCCAAATCATTCGCGGGTTCGACAACAGTGGGATACCAGTCGTGGAGAATGATACCTTACCTATAGATTTGAGGTATTTCACGAGTGTGATTATGCCATACCACGACACTCACGACCTTTCTCAGATACCTCCTCACACACACCATGGGCATGACCTACGAACCCGGCACCCCAGACCTTATCCGATACAACGCCTGCATCAACCGCACCGAGTCAGCATTCGACTTCACCCGAGAAGGCTACTTACCCGCTCTGATTCGCGCTGCGGTAGTAGGATGGCAGTACGGTGCATCTCTCGACTGGGCAGGGCAGCTCATTGAGCGCGTCGGCGGCAAGGGTCTGGACTCGTACATGGCTCAACGGATCTTCGGGCCTTTGCGCATGCGGTCGACGGCATTCTTCCCCGAGGTACCTCGTCAGGCGGCTGGTCACGAAATCGTGATCTCGACCCGTACGGAGAACGGCTCGTTGGCGCTCATGCCTCGGGAACCCGCTCTGCCGCCTACGCAGGAGATGTTGTCGGGTGGAGCGGGGCTCGCCAGCACTGCCCGAGACTATGGCGTCTTCCTGAGTGCGCTGCTTCGGGGGACCTTGGTCGGGAAGAAGACGTTGGATGAGATGTTCACGCCATAGCTCACCGAGATTCAGAGGGAGCACCTGGCGAAGGATCCGAACACCGGCGGCGGTTCGATGATTGGCATTCCTCAGGGTACGCCCATCATTCATGGTCTCGGAGGGGTCATGAATCGGGTCGATGTTCCCGTGAAGAGGAGGGCCGGTAGTGTGTCATGGGGTGGTGCTTCGAATCCGCGATGGGTAAGTCGTTCTTTGGTATCCAATCTGTTCAGGAGTCTTCACTGACGTGAAACTCTTATTTCCATCACAGTGGGTCGACCGCAAGTCGGGTGTGGCGTGCATCCTGTTCGTCAATCACATGCCATGGGGAGATCAAGTAGTCATCGACTTGTGGAATGAGCTGGAGAATGAGGACTGAATGAGCTGCGCATTGACTGTGCGAGCATACATATGGCTTAGTACTTAAATTCACCCAACGTCATATAACACTCTCGATGCTTGAACATTTGAACGTCTGACTCGCAGAGAGAGGATAACGTCAATGGGATACACGCTATCGGTACGGCGGTGACTAAGTCTGATTCCACAGCGCCCGTCCCGTCGCCAGACAGCTAAGTTACCTACAGGCTACCAGTGACCGGTATCGACCAGTCTCCCACGGGCCGCAAGGTGCAAGAAAAGCAAAATAAGCAGTAGACACAACGTGTACGTGTTGAAGGTGACAAAAACGTATTCTCTCACGCATGTGATATTGCATCAAGAGGGAATCGAACCCCCGGCGGGTCGAACTCGCATTTCGAGTCTGACGATGGCAACGACCCAGGTTACCACTACCCCATTGATGCTTTTTCCTATAAGCTGGAAAAGTATCCTAAGTGCAAAAACGCATACTGCTGCGACCATCGCTCTTTACCCTCGCTCTCCTCGATGGACCGCCAGTCGTCTCGAGGCATGCAGCACACCAGCAAGAAGAACCCCCCAGTGACAGTACACTCAACAGAGCCGAGAAGGAGCGCTATGCATAAGATACCAAAACGCGACGCAGCATGCAAAAATACATTCAAGAGACCGACACGACACTTCCTGCGTCCAATAGACGCACGACAGCGATCCCTGGAGCAGAGCAATGTACAAAACCCATCCATCCATCAACATCCCTGCTTCTTCCCACGCTAGCGACTAAACTCCACTAATCGTCCTTCTTGGCCACCCTCTTCGGCGGTCCATCCCCACCATTCATACCCGGAAACCCACCTCCATTCACCGGGTTCGGCGTCGGCGGGAAGTTCGAGTACGACGGTGTCCCAGGCAACTGTGAGGCGAAGTTCGACCCAGGGCTAGGCGTGTGTCCTCCGCCAGTGCCAGGAGTGTGTAGCGAGCTGCTAGACGTATGTCCAGCACCAGCGAACATACTGCTCGACCTCATCGGCGCGAGACTCGGGGTACGTGGTGGTGCACTGTATTGACTTCCCGCGGAAGAGGTAGATGAGGTGTGGCGCATGGGCGGTGGTCCGAATGCTGGAGAGCCGGGGATGTTGACGTTCGATCCAGCAGGATTAGGTGAAGCGGGGAATGGTCCGAAGCTGCCGGCTGAGCCAGGCGCAGGGGAGTGGAGATACGGCGAGCCGACGTTGAACCCTCCTGAGACGGGTGTACCTGCGTAGCTGTTGTAGGGCGATCCGTTTCCCGCTGCGTCGGGGTCCCATCCGGACATGGAGCGGTTTTGCCTGGAGCGGATAGAACCACCGCCCCATTTCGCACGGAGACCGACTTTGACGCCAGAAGATTCGGCGGCGACGAGGCCCGATGTTCTGTCGGCGCCAGTGACTGCGTCGACGGCGCGGGAACCGATACGGACAGCGTAGCCCATACAGACGAAGACGCCGCCTATCACACCAACACATCTGTGCGTCCAAAGGGTCAGCCAGAGAACAGATGAGAAGGGCGCGGAAACGAACCTGATGAGCACTTGAAGGAAGGACGTTCTCCGTTGGGTGATGCTGATAGCTAGAGGATCGAGGTCGAACTTGAAGAAGATGCCTGGGGTGCCGATGCCGTGGTCGAGCTTGCGGTTGTAGTGAGTGACGCTGTACTGGTGGGTTCGGACCAAGTGATTGGGGCCGGTGCTGTACGTGGTCGGGACGACGTGGAGGAAGTATTGGTATGCGACGAAAGCTGAAGGCGCCATTCAGAACGATACTGGGAGGAGTACACATGCAAGGTACTCACGCTCATGGAAAAGCTCATAGGTATTGTCGAGAGGCTGGGTGATATCTGGGAAATAGGGCCCGAACGAGAACTCGGAGATAACATGCGACAGATTCATCTCTGCACAGTGTAAGAACTCGTTGAGCACATGAACCCAGCATACAAAGCCAATCACGTACTGTCATGCGGCACATGGATACGGCTGGAGTACCCATGACCGAGAGTGGTAATATGCAAGTTTGCGGTAACCTTCTTGACTTCCAGCTGACCGACGACTCTGCAGGCTGTTGCGTCTGGAACGTGCTTGTACTTGGGCAACTGTGGCTTTTTGGCTGGTCGGCGAAGAATGGTGTCGAAAAGACCTCGGGAAGTGCGAGACTGCTTGATAGCCTGGTGAGCGGTCACCGAGTGGGCTTGCTGTTGTATTTGCCTGGCCTGGGCCATGTCGAATGTAGCCTGATCGTGAGATGCACGGTTAAACAAATGCAAAGACCGAAGCCAAGGAAGCACGCACCCCGTCCCTGCGAAAGCTACTCGTGAGAAACAACCTATCACCCACGGCGTCACGAAGATCCACGCTGAGGACTAAGGTAAAACGTCAGTTGTCTCGCCGTGCACGAAAGAAGACGAAGACGCGTACATTGGCAAGGCATAGCTACGAGTATATCCACGTTGACATCCATGTAACTGTTGACAGCGGGGTCAACCGCAAAGTCAAAGTCTGGCCAACCCCAGATATACTCTCCAATGTCGTTGAGCATCAACATGAAGGTGACGAGTGCGACGAAGACGGTAAGGAAACCCCTGCCCTCAGACCTGGACTTGTATGTCGACGGAAGTTTGGGGAATGCATCTAGCTTCTCCGGGATCGGGACGAAGGAGTCGAGTTTCGCCAAGATATTGTCATCTTCCCTCGAGGTGGCCATTGTTTTCCACTCGAGCTAGATGGACGTACGTCAGCCAGACGCAGAGAGGAGGTGGAGGAGGTGATGAGGGCAAGAGACAGGAAACAGTTGAGGGAGACGACGGCGGGGGAACTGAAGCGCTCGTTGATTGACGTGTCACCAAAATCAGGTGATGAACGTCGGCGACCTCTCTCTTCCATCCGACCATGGTCCGTTTCAAGGCAAGTTATCATCACCGCTGAGCATACTTACGGTGCGATGCACAGGATGCTGATGCCGCCATTCAGTAGAATCGATGGATCCTGGTCGAGCTCTTACCAACTACAGAGGGGAAACAGACGCCTCCAATCAACGGCAAACAGATATGGAATGCACTCAAGCAAAGCCTCATCACTAACTTTGGCGACACCGGATGGGGAGCTGTCGGTTTATCTCTGACGGGTGAGCACCACTCCTCGGGAGAAATGTCGGCGACTGATCGAAAACCTCTGCACAGTGAAGTATTACTCCCCCACAACGAACATGGCTATTATTCGAGTGGGGAGAGAACATCACCGCACTGCGTGGGCCGCGCTGACGCTTCTCTCGTCCATCGAGGGCTTTACGTTCGTTCCGAACGTGATCCATGTATCAGGTTAGCAAGTTCATGTTGTCGTCTTCTTCCATGCTGATGTGCTCCCAGGAACGATAAAACACGCGCAGATGGCTGCCGTCGAGCACAACAGGATCGTTGTAGCACGATACCGAGCTCTTGCGCAAACGCCTGGTACGTCGGTTGTTTGTTCACTCGCACTCGCGTTTGACCAACGTATTCTCCACTAGCTGGCTACCGGGACTCGTACGACGCGTACCTCGACAAAAGTACCGCTGAAATCGAGAGTCTTCAGGATTGAGAGGACTCGAAGACACCATTCTCATTCCTCGTTCATCGTCTCTCTGGGCCTTTCTACTTCAACGCCTTCCGGTTCATGTACCTACCCTCCCTTTACCCGCTCAATGTATCCTTACCATATCGGAGTTATTCTCGGAATGAATATCATTCTTTGTCAACTGCGCCATTTCGTTCGAAATCCTCTTACCCATTGTTCTCGCTTGTTCACGCATAAGAGTAAAAGGACAGCGGCCACTCTCTTCATTTTGCGCTCGCCCACTGGTAACCATTCCCTCTTCTCTCCTTATCCATTTGTTTCTGCCATGGCTCATGCTCCGAAAGGTGTGTAAGCCCCCCCTCTGTTATCAGCATCACTCCCTTCAATTTGACGACCATCAAGTAGCTTCGAGCGCCTCTCGCCCACGCCGCTAACCCCTCTCCGACCGACCTCCCTTCACCAGCATCACCTCCACCACATCTCCCACCTCTCCTGACCCCATCGCCACTTCCCACGCCCAACTCGCCGCCTAATCCACTCTCACCTCCATATCCACCTTCATGTCCCAATCCCACACCACCGACAAACCCTTCCTATTCGAGTCCCAAGCCCACCGCATTCGCACCCTCACGAACGACATCGACCTCCTGCAGCAATCCAACGCCGAGCTGAGCGCATCGAACGCGAAGCTGCTGCTCCTCAATGCCCAACAGGGGAAGCTCTGAAGGGAATAAGGCCGCAGAGGGACGAGCTATTGAAGGATTTTAAGGAGCTGTGTATCATTGCGGATGAGTCGGTGAGGGTGTTGGCGATGGTGGAGAAGCCGCACTGAGCGATGAAAGTGCTGAGGAGGGTGGTGAGTTTGGAGAATGAGCTGGGTAAGAGGAAGACGGGGCTGGTGAAGGAGGTTGAGAAGGAGAGTATGCGGCCAAGGGGGTGGGCTCAGAGGGTGGATGTGGAGGAGGATGATGAGCTGATGGAGGAGAGGGAAGTGGATGAAGGGGCTGGGCGGGGAGTGGGTTCGATGAAGGTGTTCAGAGGTGATTAAGTCGAGTGGACACAAAGCTGTAATATATGTTATAGAAGGGCACCGCTTCCGTTGGCGTTATAGTGTAGTGGTCATCACTCGGGATTTTGACTGCAATGTGGTGGAGAATTTCCCGTAACCCAGGTTCGAACCCTGGTAATGCCAGTAAGACGAAAGGTCGGCGTTATTGGCGGACTCTGCTGTTTTTGCATAGTCAACCGATTCAACTTTTATCGGTTGACTATAGGAAATCCGAAAGAATCGAAGTGGCCGCGTTCGCCGCCGGTCCCCCAGACAACCCAGTAGTATAGAAGGAGACCGGCAAGGAAAGGAGGAGGGCGGAGAGTACGAGGCTGCCATCCGCCGGTACTCACCGTTATCACTGTATGGGCGCAGCTGGGAGTTATGGTCGCGCAAGTACTCAGCTTTTCAAGGAGCGGTGCTGGAGGCCGTCTCGTCCATTGTATGTAATGGCTGTAAGAGAACCCTGAGGGCGTGAAATAGAAGTTGGCAAGGTAATGTGAGTTCGAGCTCAGAGAGAGCAACGTAAGTTACCTTACAGTCATCTATGTGCCAACAATACACCATCAGCCGGTGATACAGTCGGCAATTTGGGCTCCTGTGCGCGCGCAGCCGGTTCGCGTGTTGCCTATCGTGTAGAGCGGTCTCGAAAGCCCCCACAAGACCTCACTTTTCACTGCTTACTGTGGTTTGTCGAGTACAGTGTGCAAGGCTGCTCATGTTGTGCGTGATACGAGTTTGGAATTGCACCGAGTTATAATTGGTGCACAGATTTACCAGAAGGTAATTAAGCTTGTCGAATCGGCGAAAATTTTCCGCGTACAATGCGTACCCAGGTGCTCAAAGTGCTGTGTATACCGCCTTCTCCAGCTCATTGAAGAGATCGGCAACTACATGATCACCCCATGGCCATTGATTCACAAACATAACACATGCCACGCCCGACTTCCTGTCAATCCACTGCAAAGCAAACCTGCCGTTAGCACCGTCCTCGTTGCACAATCAGCAAAGACTTACCCATCGCGGATTCGTAGCCCCACTCCAGGAAATACTCCCCGCTTTCCTCTTCCCCGGAATATCCTCCACATTCATCACCCCTCCAATTCCATGGTCCATCGGCGTGCCCTCTGGGAAACCCATAACGAACCCACTACGATCGAGATTCGTCTGCTTCACAAGATGCTCCCTCTGCGCCTCGTTCAGCTGCGGCCTGAACATCTCCGCCAGCGTCTGCTCCGATACGAGCTTCCCTCCGATGAGTGCGATGAGGAACTTGGCGTAGTCGCTAGCGGTCGAAGCGAGCCCTGCACCGCCGGACGTGAAGTCCTGGGTTAGAGGCTGAAGGCTTGGACAGGGAATGAGGGATTCGTCTGATCCGCGCGTAGGAAGATCCGTCTGATGACCCGCTGCGACTGCAGGGACCTCAGGGAAGAACGCAGTGGAACTCATGCCCAAGGGATCGAAGAAGTGTTGCTTGAAGTAGGCGTCGAGAGGCAGACCAGTGACGTGCTCGATGACCTTCCCTGCCCAGTCGATAGCTGCGCCGTAAGCCCATCCTTCGCCTGGCGCAGCAATGAGTGCGGGGAGGAAGCCGGCTTTGGTGAAGTTGCCGAGGTGGTCAGAACGTCCGATGTATGCATTGTAGCGCATGAGGTCCGGTGTGCCAGGGAACTCATAAGCCATGCCAAGAGTGTGCGTGAGCAGATGCCTAAAGGAATGCAGAAGTAGATCAGCCTTGGAAACGAACACCAATCTACCTGAACGTTCAAGTTCGACTGACATACCTAAGCGTCACCGAGTTCGTGTTCTTCTCTACGATCGGCTTGTCATCTGCGTCAAAACCACGGATGATGTCGAGCGTGTTAAGCTCAGGGACGAGGCTCCTTACGTCCTGGTCCAGGGTGATAAGGCCTTGCTCGACCAATTGCATCGCTGCCGTCGTGGTGATCAGCTTCGTCATTGAGGCGATCCATCCAAACGAGTCGATGGTTAAGGCGGGAGACTCGACGTCTAGACTGATCCTTCCAGCAGCACCGCAGTACAAGATGCCTATGTATCTTAGTCAGACTATCCATCCCTAAGACGATGTGGATCACAGGTCGAACCACTCACCATCCTTGTTGACGACGATCGCGGCTGCACCGAGCACTTTGTCAACTGTGTTTTCGCCTGAGGCTGAGTAATTAGCCAGTATATCCGAGATGCGTTCCATATTGATAACGCAAGGGCGCGGTAGACAAGAGAAGGAGGGTTAAATCCATTTTGGAGGAGACGGGGATGATCAACTGTGTAAGCGACTCCGATACCGAGTGATGTAAGCCTCGGAAGCGCGGGCCGCGTCGAGTCAAGACGTTTTCAACAAGCAAATTAATTAGTCTTCTTCTTCCTCAGCGATCTTTGTAGGAGGTCAATTGTGGCTGAAAATCGACCGACAAGTGAGCAGACTTGTTGGATCATTGCGATCCGCCGGAGTGTGGATGAACTTCGCTGAGCCCTTTCGAAGCGACACTGCACAAGTTCGATATCGTCGACGAGTCGCTCTTACTGCAGACACAATTGTATGTTAACATGCATCTTCCTCAAACCCGCCAATGTAAAATGCGTAGTGCGAACAAGATCACAACTCTACAGGAAGCGAAGCTATTGCCAGCTTCAGCCGGACGCGCTCTTCAGAAAAATATTGTTGTCGATATCTTCGGTATACCATAAAAGTACCAGAAAGAGAGCATTTTGATGGGCCCCGAGACTCGTAGCAGACGACATAATAGCGCCCTAAATCTATTCAGGCCCAAAGCTAGCCACTCCAGATGCCAGCACAATCTGTACCGTCCCCAGAACTGGCCGATTGGCAGTTACGCGCGTACTTCTTCCAATCAACCTTAAAACCCACATCATTCAATAGAGAAATCGCACAAGCTGACACGAGAGTTACCGAGACTCATAGTGTATAGAGACATATCGCATAGGACGACACTGGCGAGAAGGATTGGGAGAGTAAGCCTACTCCATAGGACATGTCCCAGAACCTGAAGGCCTCTATGGTGACGCATTAATCAGGCAGGTTGAGATCAAAGCGCCTGCTCAGCACTCAGTTTCCTAGCGTGCAGAGCAGTGAAGCTTTCCATGGCAGATACGAGGTGCCTGTCGATTGCACGCGCGTCGAGTGAGATGCTACGGAACGATCGATGTGGACTGCTCTTGGTACATAGTAGCAGAGAGTAAAGAGAGTTTGGGCTGATCTCATCTATCCAAATTTCCTTTTTGGAAGCTGAGCTGCCCAGCGCTGGGACGAGGTCAGGGTGTAGCTTTTACTCCAGAATGACGGTGGGGAAACAAGTTCCTCTGGCTCTCCGAGTCCGTTTGATCCAAGGTGTGATCCCATCTCGCCGTTGCTGATCCGAGCCCAACTTTTACGCAATTTCTCAGCCACAGGCGACCTCCTCCAAAGATCGCTCAGGAGGAAGAAGACGTTATATACATAGCTTGTTTATCGTCATATAACGTCTTTCTTGGAAGACTACAATTTGATTACATAGATGGTCTACAATTACAACAACGGAAGACATAGGGGTCGAGAGCTGCGAGGAACTAGCCATACAGAAGGATAATCACACTACCGGATACAGAGAGGGAAAGAAATAGACAAAGACAAACAGGTGCAAGTCACAGAGATCGAGAGGAACAAGTAGACGAGTCCGCACAAAACGCCTACTGCGAGGACTTCCCATCCAAGTCCACCTTTTCCTTCGAATCCGTATCCTCCCGCTCCTGGCCATGCACGGCCTCCGAAGCAATATTAGCCAACTTATCCGCATCGTCCCCATCAAACAACGCAGCCGTCTCTTCCAGAGTCTTGCCTTTCGTTTCGACAATGTAGAAGTAGACGAAGATGAGCTCTACAAGGAGCCAGACGTCGTAGACGATCTACAAACGTTCGTGAGCGACTCGTAAGGAGATAACACGCAAGACCAGACGACGCACGTAGTACTTCCATTCCAAGTCCTTCAGAGCAATAGGGTTGACGTATTGGTTGAAGATGAGTGTGAGCGAGATGACGAAGCTGAAGAACGTCATTCCTTTGGCGCGAATTTGGTAAGGAAGAATTTCGACGGTGTATGTGACGATGAGAGGACTCCACGCGATGCTAGAGAAGAATATCATCAGCGTTACTTCGGAGATCGAGGTTGAGAAGTTCGTACTCGTAGAACGCGTAGAATAGCTAGTAACGAAATAGAGACCGTTTGAGTGCATTGGCTCATCATACACAACCGGCACACTCACGAAGATGAAAGCAATAGTCGCATGCGCAGCAGCGTCCGCACCGGTATTCGAGAATACCGCCAGTCCCACCGTCTGCAGAATATACCACACGAGCATACCAGCGGTCGACGTGATGAACAAGAACCTTCGACCAACGCGTTCGACGAACACAGCTGCAGAAAGCGCCCAGAAGAGATTCCAAATTTGCAAGAGGCCGTTGATCAAAAGCTAGATGGGCATTGTATGAGTGAGGTTCCGAGGTGGGATGGGAGCGTCTATGGCTACCTGCGTCGTGGGATTAGTGATACCCAGCTGGTCGAGGACTTTGGTGAGGTAGTACGAAATAAGTCTACCCCGGTGTGATGAGATGTTGTAGAGCACCGTAAATTGTCGGATAAAGCTCACCCATTACCAGACCATTGCGAGAAGAATGCGATTGCAGCGATGACCCGTAGGCGCTTACGATTCCCAGACGTCTTGATTAGAGACAGCCAGCCGATGTTCTTGTCTATATTGCACCACACGTCGGTCAATTACACGGAGAGAAGAGCGAACACAATGGGACGAACTCACTCGCTTTATCAAGCTCGATAGCAGCCTTGATCTCTTCGAACTCATACTGAACCAACGGATCCTGACTGCGAACCCCAATACATCAGCTATCATAATCGCGAATTTAGTACAAAAATAGACTCACTCATTTCCATCCGCATGATAATACGCCAACGTCTTCAACGCCTCCTCATTCCTCCCCTTACTTACCAGCCACCTCGGACTCTCCGGACAAATGAAGATAAGCCCGATCTGGATGAGCGAGGGCAGAGCTTGGAGGAGAGACGGGACGCGCCAGCTCCAGCTGGAGTTAATCTTGAATGTGCCGAAGG